ATAGAAAAGTGGGAAAGAGGGAGGGGCAAGACAGGAGAAAGGGATTAAGAGATACAAAACTACTATGTACAAAATAGATAAGCAACAAGGATATATCACATAGCATATGGAATTATAGCCATTATCTCATAATAACTTTTAATGGAGTAAAACTGTAAAAATACTGAATCACTATGCTGTACACCTGAAACTAATATAATATTGTAACTTTTTTTTTTTTGGCTGCACCGTGAGGCATTTGGGATTTTAGTTTCCTGACGAGGGATCAAACCCATGTCCCCTGAATTGGGAGCACAGAGTCGTAACCACTGGACTGCCAGGCAAGTCCCTAATATAATATTGTAAATCAACTATACTTCAATTTTTAAAAGTCTGTGATAAATATGCTCAAGAAAATAGAGAAAAGATATAGACAAATTGGAAAAAGGATGGAGAATTTCACCAGTAAATTTGAGGGTATAAAAAAATTTAAATGGACATTCTAGAATTAAAAAATACATATCTAAAATTCTAACTCCTCATTTTCTATTCTACTTCTACCAAGGCATTCATTATGTGTTTGTACTAATTACCTTGAAGTTAGGAGGGATATAAGTAGACAATATTAGGAACCATTTCCAGAATAAACAAAATTCAAATGTCAATGAAAAAATGAGAAAGAGGTCTTTAAATCTTGTTAAGGGATGACAATTATAGTGTGAGCTTTTATATCCACAGCTTTCTGGCTAGTTAAAGCAGAAACAAACATATTTCACCAATCTAGATTTTAAGAAACCTTTTTTCTATATGGTGGACAAAGTAATAAAAGCAATGGTCACTTACAGGAAGGTGTGTGAAGACAGCAAAGGTGCTACGGAGAAAGGCAATGAGGTCTACTAGGTAATCACTAGCTTTGTTGCCCAAATCTCCTGTCATCCAGTCATAGTCAGCCAGCTGTAGAAACTGGTCAATCTTCTGGTTTAAGTTGGTATAAATCTCTTCTTCAGCTGCATGTCTGGCATCCTGTGAAATATGAAATTTGAATAGTCATTCAAAATTCCAGTATAAGCAAAGCAGAAATCTCTGCTTGGAGACATCTCAAACTAAGTAACATAATTGAGAATATCAAGTAATATCACAGTCTCCATTAATTTTTCTTGTTTTCAAAAGCTCAGTAGAGTCCTTTCTATTTTGTATCTGCAAGACAAATTATTATATTGATTCACCAAATAGAGAAACTGCCTTCACTGCCTCAGCTATCTGCATCCTTTGTACCTTCTTACCTATGTTTAAAACTACACTCATTCTCAGGATCCTATTCTCTTTCTTCTCTTCTGGGATTCCAAGAACCTCCCTTCCTGCAATATCAACCTCTCTTATAGTTGCTAGTCTCTTCACTCTGCTTATTTTAAGTATCCTGAAGTTTCTAATTTAATGCTGTATGTTCCCACTAGTTACTATCCTACCTTTCTAGATTCTTTATAATCAAGTTTCTTCAAAGATTGGCACACATTTCCTAAAATATGCTCTAATTAACAACAGTCCTGAAAAATGCTTAAATGACAGCAAAAAAGTTTCTAGATCAATTAAGTCTGAGAAACCCAGTTTAAAAGAGTCTTGATTTACACTGGCATATAAAAGGCTCTAAGAAGTGTTATGGGACTGAAGCTCCAAGAAAAACATTTTTAGGACAAAACAGTCTATGCTGCAATCTAACAATCCATCAACATGGATTGGTCCAGGGTAATCCATGACCACCAGGCTACCATATCCAATATCCATTTTTCAGTCTCATCTTACCCTGTTCTCTGTTGGCTTTCAGGACAGAGTTTTACTTTTACTTCTGGCCTCTAATCCTCTCACTTTCACTGGATGATTTCATCATCTCCTATGGCTTCCACTATTATCTGTCCAAACCCTTTCTTGTTAAAGACCCATATTTCTGATTGTTTCCTGCATTATGGCTCACAGAAACTTTGAATACTGTTAAGTCCAGGACAAGAATAATTATAAATCCCACTCTTCACCTGTTCATTTCAGGCCAAGGCAGAGATTTAAGCAACATATTAGATTCCATTCATTCCTTCATAGTCACGGTGTCCTATAAATTCTACCCCCAAAACTTTACTCGAACTCATACCCTCCTCTCCATTTTCACCTTTTTAATGGCTGCATAATTTTACAGGTATTTACATACTATAATATAGGCATTGACTATGTTTACCTATATGAACACAGTTCTAAGAGCATTTCTCTGCTTACATATTTACTTACTTGTATGATAACTGAATACTGTCCTTGAATTCCCATTTTACTAAGTTTTCTTTTAATTAATAAACATTATTTTCTAGAAATCTGGGCTTAAAGAAAAATTGAGCAGAAAGTACAGAGCATTTGCAGATACTGCCCGCCATCCCCTTCCCACTGTTTCCCCTATTTAAAAAACCTTGCATTAGTGTGGAACATTTGTTACAACAGATGAACTGATATTGATATTTTATTATTAACTAAAGTTTACAGTTTGCATCAGGGTTTACTATTTGTGTTGTACAGTTCCATGGGTACTTACAAATGGATAATGTCATGTATTCACTATTACAAAATTGTACAAAATAGTTTTCTTGCCATAAAAATCCACTCTACTCTATCCATCCCTCCCTTGCTCATCCCCCAAATCCTGGAAACAAACCATCTTTTTGCTTTCTCCAGAACTTTGCCTTTCTACAATGTCTTATACTGGGAACCATGTATGTAGCTGATTGGCTTATTTTACTTAGCAATGTGCAGTTAATTTTCCTCCATGTCTTTCTATGGCTTGATAGTTCATTCCTTTTCATCACTGAATAATATTCCATTGTCAGGATGTATCATAGTTTGTTTATCCATTTACCTATTGAAGGACATCTTGATAGTTTCTGAGTGTAGTCAATTTTGAATGTTGCTGCTGTAATGATTTATGTGTAAGTTTTTGTGTAGCTTAACATTTCAATTCACTTGAATAGTTACCAAGAAGCATGACTGGTGAATTGCACGGGGAGACTATTTCTGTTTAGCCTTGTAAGAAACTTACAAATTGTCTTCCAAAATATTACCATTTTGTATTAGCACCAGCAATGAATGAGAGCTGCTATTGCTCCAGCATTTGTTGTCAGTGTTTTCTGTTTTAGCCTTTTTAAGAGTTGTACAATGGTATCTCACTGTTGTTTTAACTTATAACTCCCTCTCCATCCTTTGGTGTGGTATCTATTTGGATCTTTTGCCCATTTTTAAAGTGAGCCCACATTAAACCCACTTTTTAATTTTCTTATTGTTGACTTTTACCCGTTCTTTGTATATTTTGGATATAAGTCCTTTATTAGATATGCATTTTACAAACATTTTCTCCTTCTTTTCATTCTTTTAACAGGGTCTTTTCTACAGCAGAAGTTTTTCATTTTAATGAAGTCCATGGATCATGTTCTGGTTGCTGTACCTTAAGTCATAGCAAAACCTAAGGTTACCAACATTTTCCCTTATGTTATCTTCTAAGAGTTTTATAGTGCTGTGTTTCACATGTAAGTCTGTGATCCACTTTGAGTTAATTTTTAACTCAATTAACTCAAATATTTTTGAGTTTAACTCAAACTCAAATTTTTAACTCAATTTTAAAGTGTAACATCTGTGTCTAGGTTCATTTTTTTTTTTTTTTGCAGGTGGATGTCGAGTTGTTTCAACATTTATTGAAAACACTTTCATTTCTCCATTAAACTGAGTTTACTGCATGTTAACAATCAGTTGACTATATTTGCGAGAGTCTATTTCTGGGCTCCTATGTTGTTCCCTTGACCTAATTATCTTTTTTTTTTTTTTTTTTCCCCCAGTACTACACTGTCTTGATTACTGTAGCTTTATAGTAAGCCTTGAAGTCAGGTAGTGTCAGTTCTCCAGCATTGTTCTTCTCCGTCAATATTGTGTTGACTATTCTGGGTGTTTTGTGTCTCCACATAAACTTTGGAAACAATATGTCAATATCCACAAAATGAGTTGCTGGAATTTGGACTGGGACTGAATCTTTAGATTAAGTTGAAAAGAACTGATATCTTGATAAAATATTGAATCTTCTTATCCATGAATATGGAACATATCTCCACTTATTTAGATCTTACTTCTTTGATTACTTTTTATCAGAGTTTTACAGGTTTTCCCACATAGATGTTGGTTATCTTGTTAGATTTATATCTATTTCTTTTTTCAATGTTAATGTAAACAGCATTATGTTTTTAATTACAAATTGCAGTTGTTACTGGTATAATGATAAAGCAAATAACTTTTCTATATCAATTTTATATGCTGAACCTTGCTACATTCATTTATTACTTCCAGCAGTCTTTTTGTTATTGTTAATTCTTTCATATTATCTACTTAGACAATCATGTCATCTGTAAACTAAGTCAATTTTATTTCTGTCTTCCCAGTCTGTAAGTCTTTTATTTCATGGCTTACTGAATGTTGAATAAGAGTGGTATAAAAGGACATTCCGGCCTTTTTCATGATTTTAGCAGGAAAGTTTCTAATTTCTCACTATCAAGTATGATGTTATTTGTAGGACTTTTGTAGATGTTCTTTACCAAGTTGAGGACGTTCCCCTTCTATTACAGTTAGCTGAGAGGTTTTTTATCACGAATATGTGTTGGATTTTGTCAAATGCATTTTCTATATCTACTAATATGATTCTACAATTGTTCTTCTTTAGCCCATTAATGTGATGAATTACAATACTTGATTTTTGATGTTGAATAAGTCTTGCAGACCCACTTGGTGGTAATGTATAATTCTGATACATTGTTGGATTCAATTTCATAACATTTTGTTGAGGATTCTGCATCTAAGTTCATGAGAAATATTAGTCTGTAGTTTTCCTTTCCTGCAATGTCTGGCTGGTATTATGGTAATGATAGCCTCATAGACTGAGTTACGTAGTAGTATTCTCTCTGCTTCTATTTCCTGGAAAATATTAGAGAGAAGTGGTGAAATTTCATCCTTAAATATTAGGTAGAATTTCTTTCAGCTTAATTAGCATATAACTGCCAAGTTGTAAGGTATTTAAAATGAAAAACATAATAACTAAATATAGGTATACACTGCAAAAGGATTCCCCACATCAAGTTAATTAACACAGCTATCACCTCACATATTTACTTTTTTGTTTGTTTGTTTTGGTGAGAACACTGAAGTTCTACTCTCTTAGCAATTATCATTTATACAATAGTGTAATCAACTATAGTCACATTGTTATATACTAGATGCTCAGACTATTCATCTTACAATTGAAAGTTTGTACCCTTTTATCAACCTCTATTTCTTCACCCTCCAGCCCTGGCAATAATGTTTCTACTCTCTGTTTCTATGAGTTCAACTTTTTTTGTTAGATTCCACATATAAATGATACCATGAAGTATTTGATCAGGATTGTTTTTTTTTTTTTTCCGGTAC